ATGGATCATATGGTAATTTTATTTTAGTTTTTTGAGAAATCATATTGTTTTTCTTTATAGTAGCTGCAGTAATTTGTATCCATACCAACAATGTACAAGGTGTTCCTTTTTCACCACAATAACATTTGTTATTTGTGGTATTTTCAATGACAGCCATTATGATAGGTGTGTGGTGATATCTCACTGTGGTTTGGATTTGCATTTTTTTGATGATTAGCAATATTGAGCATTTTTTCATGTGTTAGTTGGGCTATGCATATCCTCCTTGGTAAAATATCTATTTAGGTCTTCTGCCCATTTTTAAAATGTTTTTTCTACATTGAGTTGTGTATATACTGTGGATATTAACCAATTTTCAACCACATCATTTACAAATATTTTCTTCCATTTAGTAGGTTCTCTTTTTGTTTTGTTGATGGTGCCCTTTGCAGTGCAAGAGCTTTTAAGTTTAAATAAGCTCCTTTTATTGATTTTTGTTTTTCCTTTTTTTTTTTTTTTGCCTTAGGAGACATCCAAAAATATTGCTATGATTTATAAGCAAAGTATTCTGCCTATATTTTCTTCTAGGAGTTCTATACTTTCAGGTCTTATGTTTAAGCCTCTAACCCATTTTGAGAGGGTTTTTTTTTCTTTTTTCATGTATGATGTGAGAAAATCTTCTAATTTGGTTCTTTCCCATGTAGCTGCCTAGTTTTCCCAGCACCAGAAGGATGTTTTCTGCTAGTCTTCAGGTCATTCTCATCAACAGTTGCTCTGTACATAGTTGTAAATTTTGATGTGCCTGTAGAAGGAGGTGAGCCACAGGGTCTTCCTACTCCATCATCTTGGCCACTCCTCCTCCTCATCTATTGTTGATCAGAATTTTCCAATCTCTACAGCTAAAACAAAACAAAACAAAACAATCCACCAACTACCTAATCCCCATTCCCCATTGACATCTTTCCTGCCAACAGTAGTCGTTTCCTGTTTAAGTAGCCATTAAAAAGATCCTTCAGTTTTAAGGAATATATTCCTTGTATAGTTTCAAGGCTTCCATAATGATTAGTCTAAATCAGTGGTTTTCAGTTAGAGCTTTTTAATAGACTGTCTTGGTTTGTCAAAGCTTTTCCTCCAAGGAGCAAGTGTCTTTTCATTTCACAGCTGCAGTCACCATCTGCAATGATTTTGGAGCCCAAGAAAGTCTGTCACTGTTTCCGTTGTTACTCCATCTATTTGCCATGAAGTGATGGGACCAGATACCATGATTTTAGTTTTTTGAATGTTGAGTTTGATGCCCAGGTGAATAGCACCCACCGGATGAGGCCAATGAAGCTGCTTCATAGGAATAACCGCAGAGATACAGCTTAAACTGTGAGAATGGTCTTTCTACCTCAGGCAGGAGTAGGAAGAAGAGGAGCAGCACATTCTTGGCAGGACAAGGGGCCCCACTCCTGACTCCTGGGGAAGTTGAGAGCCATGAGTAGGCAGGGAGCCAGAGAGTAAGCTCTGGGCAGTCACCGCCCTCAGCTGGTGAGCCTGCCCACCCAGACCCGCAGATCTGGGGTTCGGGGCCTATCGACTCATCCCTGAGGCTGCAGAGAGGCAGGCCTGATGAGGACAGTTAGGGGAGCCTCCTTCTAGGGTGGAAGGAGCAGGGCTAGTGAAGGGAGCAAGACTCCCCTCAAGGCAGCCTATTATTGGAGCATCATTATTATTGGAACATCATTCTCTGAGCTCAGAGGCAGGGAAATTGACCTCTGTCTTGGGTCTCCTCCCTGAGAAGGGCTTAAGGGCAAGGGTGGAATTTTTGCAAGAATCTCAGAGATTTCTTGGTGGGAGGGTTTTGAGCAGTTCCCAGCTGGGATTTAGACATGATCCTTCCGTGGCATGTTGGCAGGAAGAAAAGGACAAAGCTGAAGGAGATAGAAAGCTCAGGAAAGAGGGAACAGGGACATGGTCACACCCAAGTCCTAGACGGGAGGAGCGGTGACGAACACCTTGTGATGGCTGTCTCGTGCTCAGATTTGCCCCCAGCCCAGTCTCCAAAGGGCTCACGCTTCAGGCCCCGGGGTGGTGAGTGGGAGTTGTGAGCAGAAACAACAGAAGCAGCAGAAGAGAGAAGCCTTTTCTCACTACACTTTCTCGAAGAAACCAGAGAAACGTTGCAGCAGTGAGAACAACTGACAACAAACCACGGGGGGAGACACACTTTCCTATTTCCTCTGACCCCCTGAGGCTGAGACAGCAGCGTCTGCCCAGGGCACACGCTCCGTGGAGGGGCAGCAAGTGTGGGGACTGCTCAGCTTACAGCACCGTGGGCGGTGGGTTCCCAGTCCCTTCCGCCCAGACCTAAGAGGCAGCGCTGGAGATGTCGACAGAGGTCAGTGACAGCAGCTGTACCAAGAAATGGGGGGAAAAAAAGAGAAGAGAATAGAATATTTCCCTGCTTAGAAGAGGAATGGTTTTATAAGCCAGTTCCTAGGCCCTTCCAAAGACATTCAAAGATTATTGCAAAAGACTTAGTGAGAAGCTTGGGTTCTTCAGTCACAGATGGAGGAAAAAAAACACTTTGCTGTGAATATTAATGTGAATATTAACAGAAGGCTGGTGGTGTTGATAACATGGAATATGTTTGGGTCAGAGTGAGGGGTACTGGCTTGAGATTCAGATATGGTGAATTTCGTTGAGAGGTGGATTAAGGATAAATATTAACAATGGTCATCAGTAGGGTGGTGCTGTAGGCAGGAATGTTTATGTAATCCCCAATGTTGTGGGATTAGTCTCTTATAAAAGAGGCCTAGAGAGCTCCCTTTTACCTTCTACCATGTTAGGACACAGCGAGAAGACGGCTGTCTACATGTGAGAAGGTGAGCTCTTATCAGACACCGGAATTGCTGGTGCCTTGATCTTGGACTTCCCAGCCTCTAAAAATGTGAGAAATAAATGTTTGGTGTTTATAAGTCACCCAGTCTATGACTTTTTGGAATTTTGCCCCTCCCAATCCCATCTTCTAAAATATTTAAATCCTGATGCACACATGGAAGATTCTTTATAAGATGAAGATTGAGCTTTGAAGGACCTGAAGGACCAAAATCTATCTTGACAAGTTCTGTAAGGTCTAGAGCAGTGGTCCCCAACATTTTTGACACCAGGGACTTGTTTCATGGAAGGAGATTTTTCTGCAGACCAGAGTCAGGGGGATGGTTTCAGGGTGATTCAAGTGCATTACCTTTATTGTTCACCTTATTTCTGTTATTATTACATGAGTTCCAATTCAGATTATCAAGCATTATCAAGCATTAGATCCCAGAGATTAAGGATCTCTGGTCTAGAGGGCTATGCTAGTTGTTTCTCAGAGTTGGTACAGAGGTCTTACAGCCCAGTCAATGATAGCCCAACATGGGAGGGCAGCAGGCCTTGAACCAAGAACTTCCTGAAGGAAAGCAGTCTAGAGGGCAGAGTATCTGTGGGGAGGGTAACAGATAGAAAGACACATGGTGGATGTCAGGAGGTGGGATGTCTAAAGTCTTCCTGGAAGTAACTGGGATATTATAATGATCAGGTGGAGCCCGGAGGTGATGGGAAATTTAGAAACAGTTGAAGCTCAGATGTCCAGAAGGGAAGGTGTGGTAGATATCAGAGCCAGTCAGTAGGCAGCAGTCCCCACTATCATGAGTCCTGAGGGTTTGGGAGCAGGGCTCCAGCAACTGTACCAGGGACTCAGGCACCTGGGACCAGATAGGGACTGCTCCTGAAGATGCCGGTGGCCAGATGTCAGGGATAAAACATACACTGGTCAAGGAAGGACTGATAGCCATGGGAACTTAACTCCAGGGACACTTTAGGTCAAGGCTTGAGGGCAAGACCATGCTTTGTGGGCCTCTGGTTGACCAAGACTTAATCTGTCACATCTATCTGATTCTTCCAGACTGGATGCTCTGTGCACGTATCTCCACCAGTCTTATCCTTGACAAGATGCTTGTGATCAAATGCATAGATTCAGAGACCCTGGCTGACCTAGCCATACCTTATTTAAACCCAGCTAGAGGTTTATTCTGGGCCTTTCCCATACAATCACCTTTCCATTCATAACTAAGTCACATCACATCATGACTATGCAGAGCTGGAGCTCAGCTCTGCCTCTGGCAAATCAGTGCTGAAATTCACCCCAGTCCGTCTACTCCATGCGCATGCACAGTTCAGCACTCCCCACCCCTCCCATTCCAGTCCTGTCCCACTTACTCCAAACTCCAGCATGACCTTCGGTGAATGTCTATGTCTGTATTTCCAGTACTCTTCCCTTGTTTATTCTGGTTTAGGCAAGTCAGGGATGTTCTGGTTGCTGTGGGTGGGGCTGACTCTGTGTCCTTCCCAGCTTTCGAGATGGACAGTTAAAGAACCGGGGTAAAGAGGCCAGATCCCTTATTCATTTGTAACAGAGAGAAATGCCCAGGGATTCCCATGAAGTGGTTTAGACTGGTTCCAAAGAGAGGTCTGAGAGGACTTGTTCATGCAGTTAACTCTCTCTCAGGGATTTTCACTGTGCAGGCTGGGCCACAGTGAACAGCATCAATTTGCAGGAGACGGAGATGTGACCTCAGACCTGAAAGCTAAAGTCAGGCTGTGGCTGGTGTCTTTTTGTTCTTTCTTGTGCCCCAGATTCTTCCAAAGAGAGGCCCTTAGAAATGAGAGCTTCCAGGAGAGGCGTGTTCCCCTTTGTGCCTTGTATGGACAGCATGTGGATGGGAGTCCAGTAACTCTAGAGAGGACAGTGCAGGCAGGCAGTGCTCATATATTAGATCAGGGAGGCAAGAAGCTTTATTGTTCTAAGCCAATAGAACAGGGAGAAAGTGTATTCAGTTTCCAGGTCACAGAGCTGGATCTTGGGTCAAAAGATAGGGGTAATCAGGCCTGAAATGAGCAGCTTTCCATTGGCAGAGGTGGGCTGGGTCCCTGAGCTCTGGGGTCAGGTCAGCGGCCCCATCCGGACAGGTCTGCTCTCCACGTAGCCGACCTGGAGGTCAGAGCCCAGGTATCTCCCCACAGATGGAGAGTCCCAGGAAGGACAGGATTTGGATTTCAAAACAGGAATCCGGGTCAATAGCCAGTGCAGTACCTTTAAAAAGAAAGAGAAGCGTTTTATTTAAAAGATCACGTAATCGCTCTAAGACTCTAAAGTAGAGTAGATATATTATGAGTTGCACCTAGATGAAGTGTGATGCTCAAGACAACTTTACTAGCCAGAGACTTGGGAACAAAATGGAAGATCTCATCAATGCTGCAATAACGGGTCCCACATTCTTTTTTTCTATTTCTTTTATTGATCTTTAATCATCCTCTTTAACCCCCCAGCCTCTCAAGTTCTCTTTGTTTTCCTGCTGGAAGTTCTCGTTATGAAAAACCCTTGTTCACTGGGTTAGCTTATACTCAGATATAGTTGACAGACAACAGTGTAATGGGAAGTGGTTATTGACTCTATCTGGAGCACCAGGGAGATTCTGTTCTTATCTGGTAACTTCCCAAACTGGTAGACACTGATCCCACTGTATCCCCATCAGGGATACCAGCCACTAAGACATTTCTTTCCCAAAGTGTGGTCTGTAACTGTCAGAGTCCTGCTTTCTAGCATCTGGGCAGCCTGAGAAAGAGGAGGACTGAGATTCTCCAGAGCAATGGGCCTCCAGTGGGGGATTCCAGGCACTGTGCTGCTGGGGTGGGGGGAAGGGAGGGGAGGCTGAAACTTTGGGTCAGCTGAGAGTATCCACCAGCTGTCAGTTCTCAGTAGTGAAACGACTGTCCTCTACCATTCGGTAAAGCTAAGGTCACTCTGCTTCCTGTTCTCAGTAACCAGGAGTCATCTCTACTACCAGGGGGAAATGTATCTCAGGCCCCATAATTTTTATACCCATTTGCAAAGAAATGGAATAGACCTGCAAAGTGTCATTAGAATTTGTCAAGGACCTAAAAACCATTCCACACCTCTTGCCTCAACTGTGGTCTTGAGTTTCTAGGTAAGTTATTCATGTACCTTCTTTTTGCTGTTGGGCAAAATAAGTGGGGACCGCTCGGCACATGTCCTTGATGGGTGCTCCGAACTGGGCTAAGTTCTTGACCCGGTTGGGTAAAACAGTGTAGGTCAGGCCGTGAGTAGCTGGATAATGCTTTGAAGTCTGGAAGATGTGACATTTCAAAAGGGTGAGACAGCAGGTAGACGTGGCGCAGCAAGGAGGAAGAGTGAGAAACCTATTCCAGTGCATGGGAGCACTGGATGTACAAAAATGGCCTTGAACCTGCACTTGCCCTGGAGTTTCCTCCCTAATAGCAATATCCTATCTGACCACAAGGTGGCAAAATTACTCCAGAAAATTCTGTGTGTCCCTGTGACTCAATCTTTACTCCTTTCACCCTTGAATTTTCAGCTCTTCCAGACTCCAGTGCTATTCTCATTTCTAATAATGATATACAATAAATTTTAAGTTATGGTCTTCATTTTTATTATGCCTTTTACTTGTTATAAATCAGATGAGGGGAATAGTTTCTACCTCTCTTTTTAGAAAGTGATAAATTATTTTATTTTTATGTGATCCAAAGGCATTTTCTTTTCCAGGAATCAGCAGTCCTCCTGCCATGGACATTAGGGACATGGCTCAAATGTTCTGGGTTGGTTATTTAAGCAAAATGATGCCAGATTTCAGTGACTTCCCAAGGGCTTCCTGCTGATTTTTAATTTATCTGACAACCCTTGTCATTTAAGAGACGGGAAGAGAGTTTCAGGAGTCCTAAACTCATTTGCAACTAAAGATAATATGTGTGTATGAGCTTAAAGGGTCTGCAGGGGAGGAGAGGAGGCATGAGAATAATAATAGTATTTCAGTTTAATATTTATATTCACTAACATGTAGTTCACACCCTTTTGGAATACATCAAAATTATGTCATTGCATGGAATGCAATGGTTCATTTTCATTAATGTGATGTGACTTAAATAGGCCATGGATTGGACTTGGAGTCCTTCGCACGATGATGGAATTCCATGGGCGTTAAGATCAAGCATAAACTGAATTCCCCAGCATGTACAGCATCATCTTAGGAGGTCAGAAAGTAAAGTTGGAAAACACCAAACTAGGAGGGGACTCCAGTGAGCTGATCTCACTTACCTGGTGGTCCAGGGCCTTAACAATGTCATCCAAAGTTGGGAAGACAGCTTCATCCATCTTGGCCAGGACACAGGCCATCTTGCTAAACAACTTAGCCACCAAGAGGGCCTTAAAGCAACACAGCAGAACACTGTCATTCATTTAGTCACAATACAGGGGCCTCCTACTTGTCATCAGAGCTGCACATAGCTGTCCTTCAGACTGTGGTGTGGAGCATCCTGGCAGAGCAGGCCTTGGGCACCAGAGCAAAGTACCAGCAGCAGGAAGGGCCTTGTACATGGGGCCCTGCTGCAAGCACCACAGAGGGTATCCCCTGGGAAACTCTGCATAGCACTAACAGACTCGGGGGTCTGGAGGGGCAGGGGGTCGGCCGCAGTGACAGTGCTGTTCATGGTCCTCAGCCACCTCCATGACCCTCAGCTTCCCCATCTGTAAAGGAGGAAAAGTAGACTCTCTCCAGGGGGATGTCATGAACGGATGAGACAGACACCGCCTGCTTGTGAAGCCAGTGTGCGAGTTAGCGTCCCTTCTGGGTTTACAAGGTAAGGAGGAGCCTGTGGTCAGATCTCCAGAGATAGATCCCAGCCCTTGGTCTGTCACTGACTGCCCCGATGTAGCCTTGGACCTGACCTTCAGCCTCTCTGAGCTTTGGAGTAAAGCAACGGTTCTCCGGCTGAGTCTGACAATGAGCCCATTTCCCTCACCTGCCAGAGAAGTTGTGACTTCTGTTCCATCGGGTGGAATTTTGCGAAATCTTTGTTGGAAGAAAAGTCTTTATGGCTTAAAACAGAGTTGGAAATCCCTGGCCTGCTTGTCCTCCAGGAAATCAGGAGTAGATCAGGTGAAGAATGGGGAGGACAGAGTTTGGGGAGGTCCAGGGGTTGCAGAGAGAAAGCCCATGTTTGTGGAGTCTGTCCTGAGGGGGGAAAGTAGGAGCGGGGCTTCCAAACAGCAGGGGCTGGATGAAAGAGGGTCATGCACGGAGTTGGGGGGGGGTGGTCTTTTCCTTCGCTTAACCCTCTGAGTCCTTTCCAGTAGGAAAGACAGCCATTGATTCTCCTTTGCGGATGAGGAAACCGAAGCACTCAAAAGCTGCATCATGTCTCTGGTTGCGTCGTGTCTCTTGTCATATAACTTTTCTATCATGGGGCCTCCCGTCCCAATCCTGTCTCTTTCTTCCAGGTCATGCCTCGTCATCCCTGACCACATGGGCAAGTGGAAGCAAAATTTCTAAAAGTGAAAATAAATTATTTTCCTGCTTTGGAAATAAACTGATTAAAATCTGAGAGCAAGACCAAAGAACCTCTATGGCACATACAAGTTAGAGGACATCAGGATTCTTAAAAATAGCTCTCTTATTTCAGAGGCCTTCAGGAGCCCTGTGAAGTCAACACAGGAGAGGAATACAAAGGGGTGCTGGATCCCTAGAGATCTCAGAAGCTCCTCCTGTGGCTCAAAAAGAAGTCACTGCAAATGCATGAAAGCTGGTTCCTTACCAAGAGAGATGTATTCCCTCAAGATCCTAAACTTAGAGAAGGCCTGTGTAGACAGGGTTCTCTTCTCTCTGGAAAAGCAGGAGGCTAAATTTTGGAGCAGGCAAAACTTTCTTTGGCATTGTAATGAACGTTTTCTAAATCTTACATTCTTGTAGTCCAAGACTCCATCCCATTCACTCAAAACATTGTTGTCTCTGATGCTGACCATACCTCGAAAGGCATTGACATGGATGCTCTGGGTCCCAACAGATCCATCCAGAGGATGGTTGTCACTGATATTCTGGAGAAGAGAAGGCAGCAAGGAGAACAGTCCTAAGTCCAGAGTTCCTGCATTGCCCTTTCTTCATTGCTCTCACAGATATAAAGGGGTCCTCACAAGAAATTTGACGGAGGCCACTCCAGATTCCCTGGTGGCTCAGATGGTAAAGAATCCACCTGCAATGCAGGATACCTGGGTTCAATCCCTGGGTTGGGAAGATCCCTTGGAGGAGGGCATGGCAACCCTCTCCAGTATTCTTGCCTTGAGAATCCCTATGGACAGCGGAGCCTGGTGGGCTACAGTCCATGGGGTTGCAAAGAGTCGGACACGACTGAGTGACTAAGCACAACACAGCACCCCAGATTATCACCTTTGAAGTACTTCTGCTTCAGGAGGACCAGACAGGTTGAACCCTCTCCACCCTCACTTACCATCAGGGCCAGAGATGGAGCTAGGAAGAGGACCACAGGGATTGAAGACACAATCTGAAATGGAAACAAATGTCAGTGTACAGGGCTGGCTCCCTTAGCCTCAGATGAGCCCAGGGTTGGAGCCTTCTTAAAAGACCTGTAACTTTCATGGTGTCTCTTGCCCTAGAGGCCCCGAATGTATCAGGAAACTGTCATTCCATGTGTTCGATATGGGATGTACTGGCTACTCAAGAAGGAAAGCTTTATCGTTCATTCAAAGATACCTTTTGTTTTGTTCTACGTCTACTATCAATCACCGGGCTAAAGATTAGGCAATCTGACCAAGCACTTGATCTGAGCATAATGCAGGGCCATCTTAAGTCAGGTTGTAAAATAAGTGATAATTCAGATCCCCCATCTTCCTTTCTGTACCTCCTACTTTCTTCCCAACCAGTGGGGACCCCCTCTGTCCCCTCTGGAATCTGATATCCTTCCAATTTCCTCTCCTCCAGTTTCTTCCACCTTGCCTGAGCATAATAGATTATGCATCACTTGTTTACACCTTATTTTGAATAGGTTTTACTCAAGGGTGAGTAGTTCTTGAGATACTTGCAGTGAATCGTTTGCTCTTGGTGTGACCTGCCCAACCTATTGGAGGCATTTCAGACACCAGAAAATAAGTGAAAGAGAATTAGAAGGACAGGAACAGGCTAAGATAAATGTAGCAGAGAATCTTTCCCTACACCTCACAGCTCATTATCTGGTCTACTTAAGGCTCACTCAGCTCAAGAGCACTTACAACATAAGCCGAAATCGACAGGAAACCCCCTTCCTCCCCTTCCCCACAATATCCTATGCAGTATTCTGCATGTGATGACACCATGAATGTGAGATACATTTTCAAAGAAAAAGAAAACAGTTACTCTCTGAATAATAACCACAATGCAATGAGGTTAACCAAAGAAAAACATGTGATACAGACAGCAATAATATTCTATTAAATGATTCTTAGAATTAGTGCCATGTGTTAAATACACTTGAAATTTTCTTTGCCATAAATTTATAAATAAAATGAATCTAGGAAGAAAAGGCCCTAAAATATGAATATCTACTCAATCTGCAAAGATTGTTGACCTTTTAAGAAACTAGCTATTAATTCTTTAGGGAAAGACCCGTTTTCTGATGTTCTAAAAAAAGAGAGGCTTACCAACAGGGATGTTATGTGCCAAGTTAATATTTGGAAGTTCTATTTAGGGTTAATTTGAAGAGTCGATGGGAAAAAGGAACTACTCCCTGGCTATTCTGGCTCTGAAAACATAGTTACCTATATTCAAAACCAGAAAATATACTTACAAGATGTTTCATATTGCCTCTTTCTCAGAACCTTGGCAAATGCACGCATAAAAGAATTTTCATGTCCTATTTACTTTCTAAGCCTGGTTTATATAGTCTTGGACCTTTCAACTACTACCATGGTAAAAGATTCTGGGAAATTAATCATAATCTGAATACCATTTGGTGGGGGGAAGCAAGTTTATGTAATCACTATTATCACTTTTCTTTAACTACTTCTAAATATTTTCCTTTTACTCAAATACCTCCACTGGTTACATAAGGCAAACATGGGAAAGAAGAAGGCTTTGTGGGCTGGTGTGCCCATGGCTTTAACAGTTAGGGAAGGATTGCAAATAGTAGATCTCACCAAGTGGTCCTGATACAAAATCAGTGTTTACCATTTCTATTTCCCAGTTCCAGAGAAACTCTTTACTAATAGTGGAGGTGGTTGAGGAAAACCTTATGAAACCAAAAGAGATGAATTGTAACCACAAGATTAGATTGGTGATAAGACTGGTCCAGTTCTTCATCCAAACCCCAAATCACAGGGTTGGTCCTGTAATGCCTTCTGCCCACCCACCAAGCTGACCTCATTTAACTTCTTCAAAGATCTACCTCTGGGTGACATCCTAATATTCTGATATTTTGCTTCCACTCTATAATTTGTCTTTATCCTCCCAGCCTTTTTTTCAGGGTGACTTTTTCCATGAAGGACCATTTGAGCTGCATTGGATCTCCTGAGACATACGGAACAACTTTTTATGACTAGTCAATACCAACTCAGGCTTTTTCAAACATTTTCTTATTTTTTATCAGTCCTTGACTAGTTGTGACCCAACTACCTGGACCAAATTCCAAAAGGTCATAATCAAATGAACGTATTTCTTCAGAGATAAAGATGAAGTATATGGATGAGGCTGGGCACTGGAATGATCAAAGTGGAAGACAGACAGCTCTGTTCTTATAGTACTTCCTGTGAATTTTCAATGGGAGCATAAACTAAGTGGGCCCTTGGGACTATCAGGTCACCCAGGGCTCAGATAATATAAATTCTATGGCTGTCAGTATTTTAAAAACACCATGCACAGAGCACATGCTCCATAGTTATTGGCTGAAAAAGTAAAATGCAAGAAAAGAATGACTTTCATTTTGGGGCACATGGTTATGCATTTTTCACAACACAATTTATTGACTAGATTATCCTTTATCCATTGTATGGTCTTGGTGCCTTTGTCAAAAATTTGTTGACTGAACATGCATTGGTTATGTCTGAACTCTCTGTTCTGTTCCACTGATCTGTGCTCCTGTTTTTATGTTCAGTTCAGTTCAGTTCAGTCACTCAGTCGTGTCCAACTCTTTGCGACCCCATGAACCGCAGCACGCCAGGCCTCCCTGTCCATCTCCAACTCCCGGAGTTTACCCAAACCCATGTCCATTGAGTCGGTGATGCCATCCAACCATCTCATCCCTGCTGTCCCCTTCTCCTCCTGCCCTCAATCTTTCCCAGCATCAGTTGCTGCTGCTGCTAAGTCGCTTCAGTCATGTCCGACTCTTCGCGACCCCATGGACTGCAGCCTACCAGGCTCTTCTGTCCATGGGATTTTCCAGGCAAGAGTAATAGCGTGGGGTGCCATTGCTTTCTCCGCAGCATCAGTTAGTACCATATTATTTTGATTACTCTAGCTGTGTAATACAGTTTGAAATCAGAAAGTTTTATGTCTCCAGCTTTCTTCTTCTTCCTCAAAATTTCTTTGGCTATTTGGGACCAAAGACATAAATGGTAAGACCTGAAAGTGTAAAACTTCTAGAAGAGAACATAGGAGAAAAGATCCTTAATATTGGTTTTGGCAATGATTTTTTTGGATACCACCCCAAAAACACAGGCAAAGAAAAGCTAAAATAGACAAACTAAAGATCTTCTGTACTGCAAAGGAAACAATCAATAAATTAAAAAGACAACCTATAGAATGGGAGAAAATATTTGCAAACTATATATCTAAATAGGAACTATTATTCAATATATCTGAAGAAGTTATACAACTCAGTAGCAAATGGGAAATGATCCAGTTAAAAAAATGGACAAAGAAACTGAGGAGACATTTTTCCAAGGAAGACATTTATGTGGCCAATAGGTGCTCAACATCACAAATCACAGGGAAATGCAAATGAAAGCCACAATGAGATATCACCTCATACATTTTAGGATTGTTGCTGTTCTATCACCCAGTCATGTTCAACTCTTTGTGACCCCATAGACTGCAGCACACTAGGGTTTCCTGTCCCCCACCATCTCCCGAAGTTTACCCAAGTTCATGTCCATTGCATTGGTGATGCCATCCAGCCATCTCATCCTCTGATGCCCTCTTCTCCTTCTGCCCTCAATCTTTCCCAGCATCAGGGACTTTTCCAGTGAGTCAGCTGTTTGCATCAGGTGACCAAAATACTGGAGCTTCAGCTTCAGCATCAGTCCTTCCAAAAAGTATTCAGGGTTGATTTCCCTTAAGATTGACTGGTTGGATCTCCTTGCTGTCTAAGGGACACTCAAGAGTCTTCTCCAGCACCACAGTTCAAAGGCGTCAATTCTCTGATGCTCTGCCTTCTTTACAGTGCAGCTCTCACAACCACACATGACCACTGGGAAGACCATAGCCTTGACTATACAGACTTTTGCTGGCAGAGTAATGTCTCTGCTTTTCAGCACACTCTCTAGGTTTGTCATAGCTTTCCAGCTAAGAAGCAGTCATCTTCTGATTTCATGGTTGCAGTCGCCATTCACAGTGATTTTAGAGCCCAAGAAGAGGAAATCTGTAACTACTTCCACCTTTTCCCCTTCTATTTGCCATGAAGTAATGGGGCTGGATGCCATGATCTTAGTTTTTTTTTTAATTATTTAAAAATAGCTTTGACTATATGGACACTTGTTGGCAAAGTGATGTGTCTGCTTCTTAACATACTGTCTAGGTTTGTCATTCAATGAATGAATATAAAAAATGTGATTAAAAGCCATATATAGATATGGCTTCACTGGTGGCTTAGCAGTAATTTCCCTGCCAATGCAGGAGGCACAGGTTTAATTCCTTGGTCAGGAAGATCTCCTGGAGAAGAAAATGACAACCCACTGTAGTATTCTTGCCTGGCAAATCCTGTGGACAGAGGAGCCTGGCAGGCTACATTCCGTTGGGTTACAAAGAGTCAGATATGACTTAACAACAAAACAATAACAGCTATATGTATATATATATACACGCACATATATAAAATATTATATATATACATATAGATATCAAATGTCTATATGAGTATTATTCAGCCATTAAAAATACTGATGTGTAAGTTTGTTAACAAATAACTATATAGTTACATAATGAAATCTGTACTTATTTCTGCAAAGGCCAAAAGCCATATGCGCAAAGGAAAAATCAATATATCCAAACAATGAAGCCTCATTAAGGAATGAGCTTTGGCCAAAAGAAAGTTTAGGAAGCACTTCTTTTTTGCCCAACATTCTCTCTTCTGTCTTCCAATCCATTCCATAAACTTTTGTAGTCTTGCTACTTCATTTTTCCAAAGTCACCTGAGGATTCCCACGGTTTGTCCCCCCCTAATCTTTGCAGTCCTGTCTTCCACTTTTTTCAGCCTATGCCAAGATGCCAACCAAAGGTGGCTCTCCACTGTTCCCCATGTGGAGCCCATGCTTTCTGGACTCTAATCCTTGGTTCATACCAGGAGACTCGTTACCTGACCTCTTCCTCTTACCCATTCTTTAAGGCCAATTTAAACAGTGCCCCACTCCCCACCCTTCCAGCACTCCTAGTCACATGTGATCACTTCTTCACAATCTGATAATTCCATGCTTGGACCTTACTTTGCTATTTATACTCTTCACTGTGCTATGTTTACTTGTATAGTTGTTTGATCTCGTCATTAAATGACACATTCATGTCACTAGAATATAAACTTCATAAGATTATAGGCGCCTTTACTTTCTGCTGAAGCTCTGATATAAAATATTGAGAGCAGTACCTGACACAGAGATGTACAAAAATACATACATGAAGAAGATGAGTGAATGGGTGCCACTCTTGGTATATTATTCATCTCTTTATCTCCTGGAATACTTAGCAGTGGTCAACACGTAGTGAGTACATAGTAAATGATTGTTAAATTTAAAGGCAAATTATGCAATCAACTATTTAATAATAATGTGAATGAGGAAGGCAATTAAATTTTGAAGAGCATAGAGGATTCAACAAGAAAAATGAGCCTTTTTATAGATGCCAATTATAGGGCAATTATAAGGTTAGCCAAGACATCATTAATATTTCTCTCCCTGGATTTGAGGGTAGGGGGTGAAGAAAAAGGAAAAGGAAAACCAGGCATCTGCAAAGTTGTTTACCTTTTATCTTGCATCCTGGAGCCTCTGGCATGAGCCAAGCTCCTTTGACTGGATCCCTTGTTCTACTTGCTGTTTGCTAATCACTCTTTGATTTCTTCTGTAATGGACCTACCACATGCTGCAAACCAGAAACTTCCTCATCCTTATTTTACAGTTTCTAGTTCCTGTCTGGAACGCAGGCTTCTGTATTCATCCCTGTCATGGTGCTGATATTTAATCTTTTCAGCTTTGTAGAACTCAGCAGGCATCACAACTGGGGAATCATTTTTTTAATTAGTAAAGCTAAGGAAAGTGACTAAGTCATTCAGATATGACCTAAATCAAATCCCTTATGATTATACAAAGGAGGTGATGAATAGATTCAAGGAATTGTATCTGGTAGACAGAGTGCCCAAAGAACTGTGGACGAAGGTTCATAACATTGTACAGGAGGCAGTAATCAAAACCATCCCAAAGAAAAAGAAATTCAAGAAGGCAAAGCAATTGTCTGAGGAGGCTTTGCACATAGCTGAGGAAAGAACAGAAACAAAAAGCAAGGAAGAAAGGGAAAAACATACCCAACTGAATGCAGAGCTCCAGAGAATAGGAAGGAGAGATAAGAAAACTTTCTTCAATGAATTGTGAAAAGAAATAG